TTTATCATATTCCACTTCTAGCTCAGTTATGGGCTGTGTGTAGTAGATGAGTAATAAATTTTTTAATCCCTTGTGAAGGTTCAAGAGTCACTATAGGCTAAATGTTCTTGTATATTGTAATGTTTATGGTTATGAGGTGATGCCGGGAAACTGGGCTCATCAACTCCAGAGCCTTGTCATGAAAGGTTGGTTGAAGCTTGTCTTATATGCAAGGCAAATATGAAAGGCATTCTCATTTTTGTTAGTCATCATAAATTTCTGCGAAAAAACTATATGTTGCTAGGAAAATAATTCAAAATTAGCATCTGTGTTATGTTTGTGGTAATTTTGTCCTGAAATCGTTCATGCACAAACATGTGTGTGCATGCATACACACACTGACACACTTTTATGTATGTTCCTTTTCATTTATCCTTCTGTTTTCTTTCAGTTAAAAACTTTGACAGTTCAATTTTTTATATGTATTGTTCTAGTAATATCAATTCCTTTTATCTTCTTTGAATCTTATTTTTCTATTTTGTGATAATAAACAGTTTCTTGTCTTTTGGATTGTAACTTCTTTAGGGACGGTTTGAGATAATATGTCTGTCAGGCTCTTACTTGCTCACTGAAAGTGGTGGCTCCCGGAACCGAACTGGCGGTCTGAGTGTCTCCCTTGCTAGTCCTGATGGTCGTGTCATTGGTGGAGGCGTAGGGGGGATGCTTATTGCAGCAAGCCCTGTTCAGGTAATAACTTCTTCATTGCTTTGACCTTCAATCATTGTGTTCACTCAGTAAATTGTTTTCATTCCTATGAATTGCTAGTTGATCTTTTCAACATGGAAAGTTTTAAGGGACTGGTGCTGTTTTCTTTACAAATATTGTAACCGTTACCATAAATGGCACCATAGAGTAGCGAGGTGATGAGTTCAACAGAACAGAAACATGCCAGGATAATTTTTGGCTATTTAGTTGCGGTAAATTAAATTCAATCATCATTTCATTTCATTATGTCACAAATTGAACCAAAAGAGCACCATTGCAGTCATCTAAATGCTACAGTAGTTTAGCGAATGCCATAAAGGAGTTATCGTTGTTTTTCTTCCCCTCTCTTTCTTTGTTAATTTTGAGGCTGAAACACACGATGGTTGATGCCAGGTGATAGTAGGTAGCTTCCTATGGGGTAGCTCAAAGACGAAGAGCAAGAAAAGGGAAGCTGTAGAAGGTGCCACAGACTTGGACCATCAGACAGTCGACAATTCAGTTGCGCTAAATAGCATTTCACCAGATCAAAGTCTTTCTCAAAGCGCTTCATTGGCGGCATGGCAGGCATCACGGCCGTTGGACATTCGTAACACTCATGTTGACATTGATTTAATGCGAGGGTGACTTGTTTTATTTACATGGGCGTTGTATGTACATTTCAGTTTCATTCATGGCTGGTCGAACCTATTCTTCATTGAAGCATCGATGATGGAAAACAGAAGCCAGCTGATTCTGGCCTTCGATAATTCTAACTTCATTTATCCATGGTAGACATTGGGGATGTACTCATATTTCTCTAGTTTATTCAAAATTTAGTTTGAAATTTAGCATTCTTGTACCATTCATGGTTTCAATTCACTTTCATCTTTAGATATACTAAATTTGGTTTGAAAATTTCTCTTGTTGGACCATGTGACTTGTTATGTTATAGACTTCCTCTAGTTTCTTTTTCATTTCCCCAATTCACCTTCCGACCTTTTCATGTGTTTTCTACAATTTCGGCCACCGACAGAGGAAAGATCAAGCCACTTTTCCCGACACTTATCATGCTTTGTCGTTCTAGGAAAACAAAATGAAACAGGGTTGAAAACAGAGGCATGCACACCATGCGTAGACAAAAAGTCCGTGTTACATTAACAGAAGATTCAATATAGCTAGAATACATTAAAGAACTGCTAAGAACACATTCCACCATAAAAAGACATCAAACAACAGACACTAATGTAACTAAGCATCAGACCATGTGATATCTAAGCCACCCCATTGGTCTCGAGGCACACCCAATGCTTCCCAAACAGCCTTTGAGGCATCAACAATGTTGTTTGGACATGGAGGTTGATAATCATGATCCACATCACATCCCTCCATAGAGTCACACTCATCCACGACCATGGCCACCACACTGCGCCCGTTACCATTAATTCTGATGTGGTTATGGCACCTTCCTCCATTGTTGTACCATCCAGTGGACAAAGCCACAACTCGGTTGCTGTCATTGTGGTATTTGTTGTCACATTCCGATGGACCGCCCCCATCTCCGCCTGCCTCAAAGCTGTTGAGAGTGAGGTAGGCCTTGGTATGCCGGGACAATGGGGGCGAGCATCGGTAGGTTGGGTACATTTTGCCTTCTACACAGCATTCAGAGTCGTTCTCCTGGTTGCACTGTCCAGGAGGAGGCTGCCTTCCTCTAATTCTGCCGCTTGAACGGCATTGCTGAGCTTCTGTGGCCAAGCAAATTGTTGAAAGGAGAATGACTAGTAGGACAGTGGAGCCTCTTGGAAAAATTGCTGAGCTCTTCATTTTCTGCGTGTTTCTCTCCATCTCTACTTGTGTTTCTCTCCAGCTCTTCATTTAAGGGCCATGGCCTAATGGCTTGATTAATTTTTAAAATGAATCCTCCCACCTAAACAAAGCTAAGGGTCAAAATCTTTGTTAGGTATATCATATACAGTGCAAGAATATCCATGTCTTGGTTGCTTTCCTTGCTTGGTTAATAATCTAATGCACGTAAGTGGGTTTTTTCTATATATATATTTGAAAGGTTTTTATAAAAATGATATTTGGGCTATAAATAATAAAAAGTCATAGGGAATGTGGCCAGTGCGTGGTTGGTTTTTGTGCACTTCCCTCTATAGTTGGCATAGTGGATGTGTGGTCACAAATCCTATAAATCTTGAATTAGTGGTCCATCTTATTGTGCACAACCTTGTTTTTAGATGACTCTCAAAACTAAATGCCCAACCATGAAAATTGGAGGGTTTTGGGCCTAATATATCATTATCCACCGTTAAGATTCATGGTTAAAATCGTTTATGGCGAACTTGAACTTGATCGTGTTTGCTCACTTTTGAGTTTTGAATTAATTGACTATTCTTTTTGCTTATTCAAAATGAGGCAACTTTTGCCTTATAGGGGAACGCATGGTTTCTTTTCTTGGTCAAATGGCATTGGCATCCTGTCAAATGACATTGGCATCCACATCAACGTTTCCAAAAAGGACCAGTTTCAAACTCACGATCACTTTTTAAGAAAGGTTCCGATACCATGTTAGACAATCACTAACCTTAAAAATTTAAGCTTTCAAAGAAAGAATCAACAATATATATAAAACTTAAACCATCTCTTGTAAAGAAAAAAAACACACCCATCTCTTCATTTTATTTGTTTGTTTGTTTGTTTTTTATTTTAAAAAAAAAAAGAAATTGTTTTTTTTTTTTGGTTACAAACTGGTGAAGCATTCAAGCCCTTGTACAACAAGCAATTTATATGAATACTAGTGTAATAGATTAAGCAAAATAGAGGTTTTGAAGGGTTGACCTCCATCTTATTGTCGCATGTACTGCATTTCTAAGTTAGAAATCCAGATGGTGGAGACTAGTTTGGCAACAAAACTAAAACAGAAAGAAAGTCCATATTGAAACAAAATAATTTCATAGAAAAACTAGGATGTTTTCATAGTGTACATAACATGTTATAGAACACAACATTCCACCGACATTGACAACAAAACGCAAATTAAACTATAGAGATACGGTACTAAAATGCAACTAAGCATCGGACCATGTGATATCTAAGCCACCCCAGTTGTCCTCAGGCACACCCAAGGCTTTCCAGACAGCCTTTGAAGCATCAACAATGTTGTTAGGACAAGGAGGTTGGTAGTCATGGTCTGCATCACATCCCTCAGTAGAGTCACACTCATCCACCACCATGGCCACCACGCTGCGCCCATTAGCGCTAATTGTGATGTTGTTATGGCACCTTCCTCCATTGTTGTACCATCCAGTGGACAATGCCACAACTGGTGTGTTGTCATTGTGGTATTTGTTGTCACATTCTGATGGACCGCCGCCATCACCACCTGCCTCGAAACTGTTAAGAGTGAGGTAGGCTTTGGTGCTCCCAGACAATGGCGGTGAACAAGTGTAGGTTGGGTACATTTTGCCGGCGACACAGCAGTCAGAGTCATTCTCCTGGTTGCATTGTCCAGCAGGGGCCTTCCTTCCTCTAATTCTGCCGCTTGGACGGCATTGCTGAGCTTCAGTCACCAAGTAAATTGTTGCAAGGAGAATTACCAGTAGGCCAATGGAGCCTTTCGAGAAAATTGCTAAGCTCTTCATTTTCCCTCTGTTTCTCTCTGTCTCTACTTGTGTGCTCTTGTGTAGGATGCGTTTGATGAATAAAGGCATTTGAGGGTGGTATATATAGCAAGTCCCAGTGCCAAAAGAACAATCAAAATTCAACAAATCTTCTCCATCAACGTAACGGACATATCCTATTTGCCTGAATCAATTTAAAAATAAATCATCCTGAAATTATGCTAAGCGTCACAGTCTTAATTGATTAAAGATGATTTGGATTAAACTCCCCAATGGAACATAAAGAAAGTGACAGTATCAATTCCCAAAAGACAAACACAAAGAGACAATTATATGTTCCATGTACAATATGCTACTCTATCTAAAAGAAGTCTTTGAACCCATCTGCTGCTAAGACTAAAATGTCCATTTTTTCCATAAATTATCTTGATAATAATCGATCTAACAGCGCCAAATCAGACCGTGACAGCAACGCAGCAACGCCTTCATGACTGTTAATATGGTACCATTGTTGGAACACTGTAAGGCAAGCTATCGTTGGCTCCAAGTACTTAAGCTTATATTGTTTTAGGAATCCTTCCCTATATAAATATCCCAATATTCCTCCTAATTGTGCATCAAAAATTGAAAAAGGATCAAGCTATTCAAGAAGAGAGCATGAAGAATACAATCTTATTAGTGTCTCTTCCTATACTGTTTGTTCTTGCTTTAAATTGTTTAGAGGTTGAAGCTCAAGTTTGCAGGCCTAGTGGCAAAATCATAGGGAAGAAACCTCCTCATGGAAAATGCAACACGGAGGACGACTCCGATTGTTGCTTTAAAGGCAAGATCTACACAACTTACAAGTGCTCACCCCAAGTATCTAGCCACACCAAGGCAGTTCTAACCCTCAACAGCTTCGAGAAGGGAGGGGATGGCGGCGGTCCATCAGAATGTGACAAGAAATATCACTCTGATGACAGACCAATTGTTGCACTATCAACCGGCTGGTTCAACAGAAAATCCAGGTGCCTCAACAACATTACTATAAGTGCTAATGGGAGGAGTGTGGTGGCAATGGTTGTCGATGAATGCGATTCGACGATGGGATGCGATGAAGTCCATGATTATCAGCCTCCATGTGCTGACAATATTGTTGATGCCTCAAGAGCAGTTTGGGAAGCATTGGGAGTTCCGAAAAATGACTGGGGATATATGGATATTACTTGGGCTGATGCTTAAAAATTATATATAATGTAAACAAGTAGTCTTTATTTGTATTACTCTTATGTTGATATCAAAAGGGGTGAATTTTAATACAATGAAAAAATATATATAGTTCATACCCTCATTTTCAAATTTTCATTCACGAATGACTAACAAGCTACTTGAATTAATTAAAGGTAAAGAACACTGTCGATTCGCTAAAACACTATTAAAATCATAAACCATCCGTCATTTCCAATGTCTGAAAAATCGCTAGGCAATAGGCGGCGAGAGGCATGCCGGGGTCTAGCGCCCAGAGGAATAATCGTGGCCTAAACAACCTCCTAGCCCTTTTTTAAGGTTAATGACCTAAATAGTCCCCCAACTATCGCGAAATTATCATTTTGGTCCATCAACTAAAATTTTCAATTCAAACGTCCTTAAACTTTTTATAATGCACCAAAATCGTCCTTCCGTCAAAGTCTGTGTATTATTCCGTTAAATATACTCACCTAAAAATACGGTTTTGTCCCTCGATTTAAAGGAATAATACACAGACTTTGACGGAAAAACGATTTTAGTACATTATAAAAAGTTTAAGGACGTTTGAATTGAAAATTTTAGTTGGTGGACCAAAATGATAATCGCGCGATAGTTGGGGGACCATTTAGGTCATTAACCCCCTTTTTTAATATAATTATTTTGTATTACAATTCTTAAATTATAAATTTATGCCAAAATCATGCAAAATAAAAGGATATATAAAAGAAATCTTTAACATTTTAGAACCTTGATATTATCTGACTTTTACTTTTGTATTTTTCTGCAACCTTGATATAAAAAATAAAAAAAAGGTTTACTTTTTTCAATATAGGCCCATTTTGTTATGTTTAAAAGCGGGCCCATTTTAATACAATGTTTAAGTCCATTTTACAAAGCCTAACCCGTCAGTTATGTGAAAAATTAGGTCTAATATTTTCTTCTTCCCAGCACCGCCTCAGGGCCTCTTACGCGGCGCTGCCTCCTACGCTCTTCAACCGCGCCAAGTCGGCCCCTCAACGGCAAAACGCCCGTCCAAGAGCAGCCTAACTCCCTGGCCCCCACCCTTGATGATTAGGGTGAGATCGCGGTGGTGTCCTCCCCCCTAGCGCCTAGGCGGCCGCCTAGGCCCATTTTTCGAACAGTTTTCATCAGTGCTTCATTATACTCTGAAACCTTGCATATAAACAACTTCTGTATACAGGGTGTTTAGTGAGACAATCTGTTATTAAAATGCACCCTTGTATAGGACAAGCTACTTGGATACTGGAAATGCCAAAAGAAAATGACAAGTTGTTTTCTGAAACCTTGTTGCTTTCTGTCTATGTATATGTCATGCATTTTCATTAGAAATCTAAAACATTTTATTAAACAAAATATGATTATACAAGGTCTATCTAGTATGTTCTATATAATAGAACGCATGACATATACATAAACAGAAAGCAACAAGCTAGCTAGACAGATCACACTAATATAACTAAGCGTCGGACCATGTGATATCTAAGCCACCCCAGTTGTCCTCAGGCACACCCAAGGCTTTCCAGACGGCCTTTGAAGCATCAACAATGTTGTTAGGACAAGGAGGTTGGTAGTCATGGTCTGCATCACATCCCTCAGTAGAGTCACACTCACCCACCACCATGGCCACCACGCTGTGCCCGTTAGCGCTAATTGTGATGTTGTTACGGCACCTTCCTCCATTGTTGTACCATCCAGTGGACAATGCCACAACTGGTGTGTTGTCATTGTGGTATTTGTTGTCACATTCTGATGGACCGCCGCCATCACCACCTGCCTCAAAAACTGTTAAGAGTGGGGTGAGGTAGGCCTTGGTGCTCCCGTACAATGGCGGTGAACATGTATAGGTTGGGTACATTTTGCAGGCGACACAGCAATCAGAGTCATTCTCCTGGTTGCATTGTCCAGCAGGGGCCTTCCTTCCTCTAATTCTGCCGCTTGGATGACATTGTTGAGCTCCAGTCACCAAACAAATTGTTGAAAGGAGAATGACTAGGAGGACAAAATTTATACATAAAACCTATAAAATGAAGGAAAAAAAAACTAGTTGTACTATATTTTATTTATTTATTTTGAATGATGTGTGAAATACCATTACTATCCTTGCAGTATAATTTTTAGGGAAAATAAAATTATGATGGCAGTATTGTAATTTTTAGGTTTTTTTTAAAATAAAGGCTTATATGGTATACTTGGTCCCTCCTTAGTTTGGAGAAAAAAAAAAGTGAAATAAGTTTTTTCCTAAGATTTGAGTATTGTAGATGTTTTTTTTATTAGTATTTATATTTAGGGCCCTGTTTATGGGCTTACTTACATATGAAAAGCCCTTGTTTTTATCTTTCAAGTCAATTGAATATTGATATAGTGTGATCCAAACTAATTGAGAATTCCAAAATTTATTCAATTACTTAAGTCAAGTCAATATCTAACCACTTAATTGCATTGTGAAAATTAGTGTCTAACTTAATTTGTAGCAGGGGCAGATGATTCGTGGTCTTTTTATTATCATGTCTTGTATAAATTATGGCTCTATTTTGGTTTCCTATCTGTCTGTGTGAATATCTCAAACACGTTACAAAGATGATGAATAAGCATTTGAAAGGAAAGAATCACATCTCAAGTTGAAAGGATGTCTGTTCTAATATATATTATTGAAAGGATGTGCCAAAATTAATACATGCTCATTTTTTGCAATATCCCACACTCTTAGTCGTATCGTTCACTCAAAAAGATAATTCACTTTTGAAAAATTTGCTTTTGGTAAAAATTTGACAAAGCGCACATATGTATTGGCACATTAAAAGAAATCCGAATTATCAAAGATGTGCTTTTTGTGGAATTAAACAGTCCAAGCTTTCAAGGTCAAGCTAATACTTACCCTATTAGCTTGTGATTGAGAGGGTAGGCTACTTCATAGTTGAAGACCAAAACACCCATTGGGTGTAGAGACATCGCGCCTTTTGACTCAAAAAAAAATAATACTTACACTATTAAGAAATGTACAAGTCATCGCAGAAAGTTTGGTTAAGAAATATCAAAAGTTAAGGGGGTACTTTTCCTTCATTTCTTGTCCATGTCCCTCATCCAAACAGGCCCTAATGGAAATTTCAAGTACAAATCTTATGTCACAGTTCAAAAACAAAACTGCACAAAATGTAGTATTACGATAATTAATTGTATTGTTGATTTAAAAAAAGTGGTGGAAGCTATAAAGTTAGTTGGAGTCATAAAATAGTTTGGTGTATGTTGGAAGTCAAATCACCATCTCAAGTACAAGTCAATAGTTGTGTGGGAAGAAAAATAAGAAACACTGGGGCAAAATTCGAGTAGGTACTATCTAATAATTTGAAACTTATTTATCAAGAATTTTCTCCCATTAAAGCATCATTGAAAAAGTTGGGTCCAATTTAGCACACTCTCAAAACTTTTCTCCAATATAAGAATAGAAATTATCATAATACGGGTCTCGTCGAGTAATGTCCTTAGAAATTATTTTCATAAAATGTTTCTATGAAATGAAACCGAGAAAACGAATTAATTTCCTAATTCAATAAAGTTTCTGTGCAGGAACACACACAAAAATAAAAAATAAAAAATAGAAAATAAAAGTGCGATGTTCTTATATGAATTCCACAGCATTAATTTTACATTAACTTTGACATGTGATATTTTACTCCGCTTTTATGATTTTGTCTTGTATGATAGCATGTTGCTTTGTGTTAGCTTACACCGGGCTTCAACTAATTGCATGCATACCATTCAAGCTCGTAAAGACTTTCTTTCTTTTACCATATATCAATAATTATACCCTAAACAATTGGATCTTGTTGATCTTGCACTTGAATCTATTAATATGCAGGGCCACGGAAGGTGCTTAAAACTCTTTCTTGCATTTGCTCTGCTTTTGCTACAGTACGCCCAAGGAGGAGAGGTGGACCACAGTCAGCATAGAGAGGGAAAGGCAAGCACTCCTTGCATTCAAACGTGGCCTGGTGGATGAGTCCGATCTCCTCTCTTCATGGGGTTCAGAAGCCCAAAAACAAGACTGTTGCATATGGATAGGAATCTCTTGTAGCAACCAATGAATGACCACTAATTATTAAAACAAAACAAAAAAATACAATGAAATGAAAGGCAAGCAAACTAAGAAATGAAATGCAAGATTTTATTTTATCAGATAATATGTTCGGATAAGATTTTATTTTATTTATTTTATTAGTTGTATCGGTTGGTATTTATAGAAAAAAAAAAAGTATAAGGATTTGGTGTTAAAAGTGAAGAGTATTGGTTGGTATTTATAGACACTGGCGGACCCGGAATTTTTTTAGCGGAGGTGCAATATTGACTAAGTATGAAAAATGGTTTTTCGGAATAATCATTTTCTCAAGATAATTTTTGGCGGCTTTTATTCCTTACATATCAAATAAGAAAACTTGATTTTATGAGATTTTAATATGAAGTATATATTGACTTAATGAGCCATCATTTTTAGCCTAAATCGTATTTTGCACTAAAACCGATTTTTCATATTTTGATTTGGTGGGAATTTGATTTTCTAGTATTTTTATTTGAATCCAAATGGGGGTACTTCCTTTTTCAGATTTTTTATTACAAAAATATTGGATGCCGTTGGATTGGAGATTTTGGATCTCTCTTGGAATCATCTTGCAGGGTCATTACCCGATCTTACAAAGCTTTCATCTTTGGAAGTCTTGTATCTTAATAACAATCAATTAAGCGGAGTAATTTCAGGAATTCATTTCTCAAAACTATCCAAATTACAGAGTTTGGATCTATCTTCTAACTCGCTAGTTTTAGACATCCATGCTGATTGGATTCCTCCTTTCCAACTGGACTACATAAATTTGGGGTCTTGCAAGATGGGTCCAGATTTTCCAAAATGGCTTCGAACTCAGAAAAAATTCTCATTCCTTGATATTTCTGATGCTAATATTTTCGACATCCTTCCAAGTTGGTTTTGGAGTTTATGTCGTAATGTGACATTTATGAATCTCACAAGCAACCAAATTAGAGGTACATTTGCAAATTTGACATTCGAATTTTCACATTTCCCTGAACTACATCTGAGTTCGAACAAGTTGGAAGGTCCAATCCCCTCAGTTCTATTTTCTATCAAAAACCTTAAATCTGGATCTCTCTTATAATAAACTTTGCAGGGTCAATTTCGTTCTTGTGTTCAAGTGCAGCTATGTTTTTAGACTTTCTTGACCTCTCAAACAACAATGTTTCTGGACAAATTCCAGATTGCTTGACATATTTGAAAAATCTAGTCATGCTTGATTTGAGTTACAATGCTTTGTCCGGGAATATTCCTACAACAATAGGCTCTGTATTTTGGATTGAAACGCTCAAATTAAGAAGCAATAGATTTGTGGGACAATTTCCTTCGTCATTGAAGAATTGCACACATTTAAAAGTCATTGATGTTGGGGATAAAAAATTATCCGGACCAATACCTAAATGGTTAGGGGTTAGCTTAAAGGATTTGGTTATCCGGATGCTTTCGTCCAATCACTTCAATGGAAGCCTGCCCTCACAATTATGCGATCTAACACACATTCAAATTTTGGATTTATCTATAAACAGTATCTCTAGAAGCATACCCAAATGCCTCAACAATCTGACTACTCTAGCTCAGAAAGGAAATCCAAGTTTGAACATCTCACATTTTGTTTACATAAATAGTAATAATAGTTCAATTAGTGCTGTATATGAGGAGGATGCAACATTCATGTGGAAGGGAAGAATGTACTCATACAAAAACACATTGGGACTGGTGAAGAGAATTGATTTGTCAAGCAATAGATTAACAGGGGAGATTCCAAGTGAAATCACTCATCTTGTTGGATTGGTTTCTTTAAACCTATCGGGAAACCAATTAACAGGTCAAATCACTCCAGAGATTGGAAACTTGCAGTCACTGGACGCCCTTGATTTGTCAAGAAACCAGATAGAAGGAAGAATTCCAACAAGCCTTTCGCGGATCGATTGTCTTAGTGTCTTGGACTTGTCATTTAATAATTTGTCTGGCAAAATTCCCATCGGAACTCAGCTCCAAGGCTTTGATCCCTCTGTTTATGCTGGAAATCCTCAACTTTGTGGACCTCCACTTAAAAAGACATGTGCTGATCAAAATGTGCAAACTGACTTGAGCAATCAAGAGGATGATGAGGATGAGCTTATAACACTGGGATTTTACATCAGTATGGAGCTTGGGTTTGCAGCTGGATTTTGGGGAGTTTGCGGCACTTTGATATTCAAGAGGTCATGGAGATACGCATACTTCGAGTTCGTAAATGGTTTAAATGATTGGCTTTATGTGCAAGTAGCTTCGATCAAGTGGCAACTAAAGGATATGCTTAGTAGATAAGCTGTAAGTACCTGAATTCTTCTGTTTTTACATCATAATTAAGTTATTAACTGTCCTTTCAAAACTTATGGAGGCAAGTTATGAATTCTTCTTGTTTACTTGCAGCTTCAGTAGACTTGAAGAGTGCATATAGTTGCCATGGAAGCAATTAAATATTTGCAGAAGTTTCAAGTTTTGGATTATGTAGTGGGAATTTCCTTAATAAAGATTTGTCACTGTGTCTTGTTTGTTAGCAATTATTTAGTGGTAAATGATTTGTAAGAACTTGAAACAATTGTTTGCCATGAATGTTCTTTTCTGTAGAGTATTTTAAATCATATCATTTACTACTGAAAGCCAATTAATTTTCTCTTTTCTTTTCTCCCATCCCATAGTTCATAGTAATGATTTGTTACTGTGTCTTGCACAAATATCTACAGAAGATTATGAGTTAATTTGGAGTGCTTAGTAGGAATAAATATGATTTTGTATTATTTTTAATTACTTTTAAGAACAATTGATTCGAACTTCCCATTATGTATTAATTCCAGCTATATTGTTATTTTAATCAACCAAACAAAAGCCA